CCCCTTCCAAGAATGCCCCTCTGACTCTCGCAGGCTTCTGCTTGAACGGCTTGGAGGGAACCTGGTGAGTGCAAAGAGGCTTTGGAGGGGGGGGGAATATGGGGTTGGGGTTTGCAATGCAAGGGAGAAAGGAGGGGTGTATAGCAGGGGGTGAAAGAGAGCACCTGCCCCCAATTTCTTCCTTATCTCCCTGTTCCCCCCCATGCGCAGGCGCGCACTCCTACCCTATGGAGAGCTGCCGGCCCCCTTTGTACAGAGCCATGTGTTCCCTGCAGTGGACTTGAGCGCAGGATCCGAATGCGGTACCTTGGGAGACTGGAGGCGTTCAAGCGGCTTCCTGTTGCAGTGGCACATTTAGGAAAGGGGGGCCTGAGAGTGAGATTTGGGTCAGAGAAGAAGGGCAGAAGGACGGAGCAGATCAAGGAAGAGGGAGGAATGGGTGGTTGAGGTGAGGTTTGGGGGGCAGGGGGCTGAAGGAATGGCTGAGGGAGTGGGGAAGGGTGGCTATAGGGGGACAGGGGCTGTGTCATTTGACCCTCGGAAGACCCACCTGAAACAGAATCTGAAGAGTGCAAAAAGTTTTTTTAAAAAGTCTCAACGGGATGCACACAAGCACCCAACGGAGCATGCACACACTTCAGTTTAAACAAAACAAACACAACCCCGTGTGCCACACCACCCCGCTTCTTTGCCTGTGGTGTGATCGGCACCTCCCCCTAACCTTGGGACCTCCACGGGACCTCCACAGGACGTCGGATCGCGCAACTCCCCCTAACCTTGGGACCTCCACGGGACGTCGGATCGCGCAACCACGCGTTATTTAGCCCCGGGGCAAACAGCCCCCCCCCCCCCCCCGCATTTTCCGGTCAGTGTGAGGCCTTAGTCTATTTTTCTTCACAGATGCAGTAAATGAGTTGGCCAGAAGATTGGGGTTGCCAGCTACAGGTTTGGAAATACCTGGAGATTTGAGGCTGGAGTGAGGTTTGGGAGGGACCTTGGTAGAGTATAGTTTGGTGCCATGCAGTCTACCTTCCAAAGCAGCCATTTTCTCCAGAAGTGGAATAAATGTTTTAAATAAATAAGTCAACAAGAAACAGATCAGGAGTGCTTGCTATATCTGTTGATTCTTTCAGTTAGCCTCAACTAGCCTCAGCTGCTTCTTTTTTTGAATGTGTAATAACATTAGAAAGTGAATTCAGGAGTTGCTGTCCCAGGATAACTAACCAAGAATTGTGGAGAGGGGAGGAAAGACAAGGTTTTGCATTGTGAGATACTATGTTGTAAAAAGCAGCATTTAGGCAAGTGACTTATGTAATCATCTGTGTCAGATTTAAATGTTCTTTGGTTGTGGTCACACGGGCAGGAAACTGCGGGGGGGAAGCGTGGCTGTTTGCCCCGGGTGCAGAATAATGTGCAGTTAAGCGATCACACCTTCTGTGGAGGTTCCGTGGAGGTTCTGTGGGTAGGGAGAGGTGCCGATCACAAGACACGCCTGCGCGCAACGAAGAAGCGTGCGGTGCGGCAAACTGGTTTTCTTTTTTTGTGTTCACGACGAATGCGCATATAAGGCCTTGATACAGCGAAAAAAGAAGGCCGCCATAGCCCTTGCATGGGAACAATTAAGCTCAGCATGCAGAGATAAAAACCCCTGTTTATTCTGGAATATGGTCTCTAATTGTAATACTAGACCTCCCTCAGTGTGCAGCAATACAATTCTCCCTGAAACTTGGGAAAATTATTTTGAGCAGCTCTACCGAGGTCAGGATGAGGCTGCTTCAGAGGTCCTGGATATAGCTACCTTACCCTCTTGGTCCCCTGTGCATCCTCAAGAAATTAAGAACCTCATACAGACCCTGAGTTCCAACAAAGCCCCAGGTTCTGATCTTATATGTGCAGACCTGATCAAGAGGAACCTCGAGTGGTGGGTTCCAGTTCTTGCTACCTTATTTACAACTATAGATAGAACTGGTAGAATACCTAAAGACTGGGGGGTGGCAATAATAGTGCCTATTTACAAGAAAGGGAACAGAGAGGATCCTGTTAATTATAGGCCGATCAGTCTGCTAAGTATAATAAGTAAGCTTTATTCAAAACACTTACAGTGGAAGCTAAAAGACTGGATGGAGCAGGAAGGTCTTTTGAGACAGGAACAAGCAGGCTTTAGAGAGGGACGGTCATGTTTAGATCAGTGTGTGATATTGAATCACTTGATTTCCAAATACTCTTCGAATTCTTTAACCTCATTGTATGCAGCTTTCATAGATTTTAAATCCGCATTTGATTCTGTCTCAAGAACAATCTTATGGGAAAAGTTGAAATCTTCTACGATAGATAGGCGCTTACTGTTTTTATTGAGAGCTCTTCACAAAAATACTTTTATTAGGGTACGATGTAATCCTCAAGGTCATCTTACTAGGATGATCAGGTCAGATAGAGGAGTAAAACAAGGATGTATCTTGGCACCTCTTTTATTTAATATTTACATCAATGACATGGTACAGTTTTTGTACAAACCTGAATTTCATCCTCCAAAGCTTGCAGACAGACACATCTCAATCTTGCTTTATGCAGACGATGCCGTCTTGCTTTCTAGGACCCCTAAGGGACTTAAGAGAGCTATGTGTGCTCTTATGCAATACTGTAATCAGAATTGCTTAGAGATAAATTATATGAAGACTAAAATAATGGCTTTTGCCAATAGGCCTAGGATGTTTAAATGGGTTATTGACTCTCGTACCATTGAGCAAGTTCGTTGCTATAGATACCTTGGAGTTGTATTTCAGTCGTCCGGTCATATGAAAGGCCATGTTGATTACCTGTCAGCTAATGCAAAGAAAAGCGCTGGAGCTATTCAAAGGTTCTTCTGGTCCAAAGGAGGTCGTAACTTAGAAGCTGCCATTAAGTTATTCACTGTAAAGGTATTACCCCAATTATTATATGGAGCTCCTTTGTCTCTCCTGACAAACTTGACCTTACTTGAAAGAACACAATCGAAATTTTTAAGAGCTATATTTCAAGTTCCAACAAGCGTTTCAAATGCTGCAATCCGTTTAGAGGCTGGCCTGGTTATGGTCGAGGCAAGATTGTGGATTGCTGCATTTTACTATTGGTTAAAATTGATTTTTTTACCCATTGGCCTTTCCCATACTATGATGCAAGATAACTTTGTTCCTTCATGGCGGAAAAAGATAGAAGATAAACTGGTCTGTTATGGTTTTTCAAAACAGTTTATTCTGTCTTTGGGACACGATCGGGCTAGATCAGTTCTAAAACAAAGAATATTAGATGTCGAACGACAGATGGACGTGAGCAGGATTAGGAGCCCTGTATTTGATGTAAGTTCACTTAACAAGATAGCTGTGAGACCTTACATCAAATATTTAGATATCAGCAATCATAGAAGAATTTTTACCCTATTAAGATACAACGCCTTACCCTCAGCCATAATGGAGGCCAGATTTACTAGATCATTGAGGAAAAGTTGTATTTGTGGGATGGGATCTGATGAAACATTGGAACATGTAATTTTCGATTGTCTTATATATCATAATACCAGGGAAGTTTTGATCAAGCCTATAGTTAATTCCTTTCCAGGTCGTGATAGAAGGATACTTTTGTCAATTATGCTGGCAGGAGATAATCAAAAGTTGACTAGGATGGTTGCCAAATTTGGTTGGTTGGCATACCAAACTAGGAAAGAGATAAAGGACAGATAGGCCTAAACCTAATTTTTAATCAAAATTCTGATTCTATTATTTCTGTATTTTAACGTTTTTAGATCCTATTTATAATTTTAGATGCCGATATATTTTATAATTTTACTGCTCCTGTAACTGTATTTAATTGTCTTCTATTATACTGGTCTATGACCGTAATAATAAACTTGTACTTGTTTCTTAGTTGATACTGATCCAAATGTGACGTTGGCAGTGGCAAGGTTTTTATCTGTAACCTTGGGTGGTATTAAATGAATTGACTCTTTTATGCAGTTAATATATATTTAGTAACCAAATTGCTTAATTTTGTGAAATTGTAACTGTAATTGTAATGTACTGTATGTATATATATGTTGTATTTTGTTGCAGGAAGCCTTGGTTGTGCCACGGAAGCGCTACACTTCCCAGATGTGCCGGTGAGATCGCACCCGGAAAATCCGCTTGTCTTCCGTCTCTCTTGCGTGGCTAATGTTCCGTGTGACCGCAGCCTTTATAGGGCAACTCATGAGATCAGGATATGTACTGGAAGAAGGATGTAAGTTAATATTTCAAATAAAAGTATTGTATCTGGCCAAAACCTCCACCCATACCAAAGCAAGTTGAGATTTCAGGTCTATTTCCAGAGCTTGAAGGGTGCGTCTCAGGTCTGTAATCTCAATCTTGTTGGTGCTCATCTCCTTAGCACTCACATTGATCTTCGCGTTTAATTCTTTGCTCTGCAATAATGCAAGAACATAATTAAAAATACAGGATTCAAATGAGACAAACCAATTATCTGAGCGCTTGATTCTGTTTTTTAAAAACGTATTAGCTGTATCCATTTTGTAACCTGGAAGGTGAGAAGGTAATTTGTTTGACTGCCCACACCTATGAACTCCTGCTACAAGTGGGGGGCTAGATACTCATATATTCAGGTTTTCTCGAAGATGTGCTAATAGCATTCAGATTCAGACTGTGAATCAGGATCAGAGAACAAAGATCTTCTCTGTGCTTGGCACCATCTGTGGAACCATCTGCCTGTGCAGGCTACCTACTATTGAATATTTTTTCAGTGGTTTTAGGATCTTTTCCCATTGGGACTTGGTTTCAGTGCCCCAAATTAATGTTTTACAGCTTGGTGAGCTTTAAGGATATGCTTTATTCAGCATATTTCTTCAATGAATATTTTCTGGTGATATGTGGCATAACTTGCCTGGAGCCAAGCAGACTGAGTAATCTAACATCAGGAAATAAATATTACCCATTGAGCAAAAACAACAACAATGGCAGTTAATGGATGATGTGGGAAGTTCAGGCCATTTTTACACCAACAATTACTATAGTTTAGCGACTCGACTGTGCGACTGAACAACAACAAAAAATGCATAAACCCTGTGAACTTTATCAGAGTGGTGCCTGATTCTCTCAGGCAGTGTACCTGTCTGTGCCACAGAGAGAAAAATGTGGCAAGAAGAGAATTCTGTAATACCAGGTGGGGACCTGTGAAGGATTACAGGAGCAGCGATGGTAAATGGCTCCTCCTAAAAGTTTAGAGGGGAAGTCTGGTGAAGGAGAGAAGAAAAAAAAATGAATTGAAGGCTCAAAAGGGAATGAAAGGAGTGGGGAACAGTGAGAGATAATCAAACTTGATCACAGCAGGTTCATCTCATGTTCTGTTTGCTGCTCATCAACAGGGAGCTAAAAGTTTGGTAATCTATTTGGATGGATCTGAGGAAATTTAAATGCATCTGATTTGCACAGTATAATATGCATTGCTTTCTCACACCCCCGGCTAATCATCTGCTAGTGCCATGTACAGTTTTTAAAAGGCACATAGTAAACAGTGGGGGACAAATCCCTTTGGGGGGGTTGTGGTGAGACTTGCTACTGAATTTCTCTGTGTGCCTTTAGTGTCTGCCCATAAACCCAGTTAATCGTGTAATTAGTTCTTTTGGTCAGTTCTTGAATCAGATGCCACTGACTTCACAGGTGCAAAAAGCAGACAATGCAGTTTAGCCAGTGTTGCTCATTCGAAGGATGCACCCCGCTGCACAGGTGCAAAAAGGGGATGAAAAATCCAAATAACAACACAGCAGAAACCTCCCAGTATATATGAATCAAAAAACACAAACTGGAAAGTCACTATCATATGCAAAAATATATATTTTAGAATAGTAAACACATCAAGTGTGCAATCGGAAATACATTAATAACAATTTACAGTCCAACAGTATCAACAAATTATGAAGAGTCCGGCTTCAACTTTGTTTAGATGGAAAACTTCATCAGACGTGATTACCAGCAACCATTATGTGTGTTTTTTGCAGATGAACAGAACATTCTCTATGTTGCTATGCAGTATACTATCTGGGACTAGCCCTTCAATAGGCATAAAAATGGAGTATCGCTGCATAGGATTTCACAGTTAAATCTGCTAGAGTTCTTGGTGGTATAGCTATCAAAATAGAGATACCTATTTGGAAGGAAATCTATCACAACAAAGACCACAAAACTCCACATAGAGATTTGCCCACGCATAAAAAGTTTTTAAGCCTATTGAAGGGTTAGTCCCAGATAGTATACTGCACAGCAACATAGAGAATGTTCTGTTCATCTGACTTCCGGTTTATGGTGACATGATAGCGGACGTTTCTCCCGGACCTCCTGGGGAAGCAATCTGCGCGCCAGTGATTTGGGGGGGGGCGACTGGTCGCCACCCCCCCAGAGCCTTTGTGAAAGACTCCTAGCAATGGGGCTTTGAAGGGTAGCCTCTTCGCCAGTGTGTTGCTGGAGAATTGAGGCGCTCTTCCACCCCGACGGTCCTGCTGCTGCGGCGTCCGCAATAGAACCAGAGCTGCTGACCGGAACAAGCATTGGATATCGGGCATAAAAAATGTACCTTGAGCGAGGTCTTTGGACCATCAATGAACAGTAAGTCGAGTTAAATCGAAATGCCAGGAATTTAAAAGAAAGCCCCCCTAGGAACGAGGAGATGAGCAAGCGGGGGAGGGGCCCATATGCACAAAGAGAATAGCGATTTGCCAAGGGGGAGCTGAAGAAAAAGCATTGAAATCTATTTTAAGAGATCAACTGGAGCACCTGTAAGCGTTTGGGCGAATTTCAGAGACTTTAGCAAGTTTTTTAAAAAGTAAACAATCCATAAAAATGGTGTGGAAAAAAACGGAGAAAGACAGATAAGCAAAAGTGAAACCACCGGGGAGTATGAGCCCGCGGCCGGAAGATATCACTGAGTTTTCTAAACTGTTAGCGGACTACTGGACCAGATGACGAACATCAATCAACGACTGACAGCTCTAAACCAGAACTTTGCAGCCTAGTAGTTCCAATTAGACTACAAAAAAGACGGAGCAAACAGCTGAGAAAGTGAAGGAAATGGATGCCAACTCCAAAAAGGTTAAGAAAAAGGTTCAAATGCTGGAAAAGAAGCAAGCTTCAGATGAATATCAACTTTTGCAGCTACAAATGGAAAAAACTAACCTAGTCTTCCGGTTCCAAGGTGTCCCTGAAGTAAAAGAAGAGAATCTAAAGCAACTGCTGAGTGATGCGCTAGCCCTAATCACAGATTTAAAAGTGGAATACCTTGTAAGCGAAATGGATGTGGTTTATAGAACCTATTCCGTTTATATCAAGAAAAATAATCTGCCTGGGGAGATAGTGGTTAGATTCTCTAAGAGACATGTGAGGGACCAAATCCTGAAAGCAACTACAGGAACGCCCTTGAAAATTGGAGGCAACATCATCAGGATCTTAAAAGATATTCCATTTGAAATAAGGAAAGAAGAAGTACAAGGACGATCCTATTTTTACAAACAAACAGCATTCCTTACAGATTTTCAAACTGCTGGATAAAAAAGAAAAAATTGACTCTGTTTCTAAAGTGTGTGAGTTCCTGAGACTGCAACTGGGAGAGTCTGGTGAGGATGGCAAGGAAGAAGAAGACAGCAAACCTCACTAGGACTCTGCTACTTCCGATGAGGACTCTGTCTCTGAAAAAGGGGCAGCAGCCCCTAAGCGAGAATATCAATTAAGGATTAGAAAAGATAAAACAAAATGAAGCCTGAAGAACTCTGAATTGTGCCTTAAGGCAAGGATATCAATGTGATTTTCTTTAAATAGTGAAAAATCTTTGTGATTTTCTTTAACTGGTGAAAATAATGGTTTTAAAGATAAACAATATAGCATGATCGACTATGTTCAATGTAATCATAGCATTTTAGATTAACACTGATACAAGCTATTGTAATGATCTCCTATTCCTGGGTTTTTAGTTTGGTTTTCTTTCCTTTCTCCTATAGATGTAGTTTCCCCTTCCCTTTTTTTCATTGTAGTTTATAGAAAATGCTAAAAAAATCCACTACGGGGGCTTAAAGGAAAGGGGGGAAAAAGAATGTTCTGTTCATCTGCAAAATAGGATTCAAACACATAATGGTTGCTGGTAATCACTTCTGATGAAGTTTTCCATCTAAACAAAGTTGAAGCCAGACTCTTCATAATTTGTTGATATTTTTGGACTGTCAATTGTTGGAAAACTGTTGATACTGTGAACTGTTAATATTTGTTGATACTGTTGGACTGTAAATTGTTATTAATGTATTTCCAATTGCACACTTGATGTGTTTACTATTCTTTTTTTTTTAATTAACAATTTTTATTGAAGTTTTGATGGTACAAACAGATATTAATACCAAAAATAGTCACTTCATTGTTGACAGAATTTTTTTAAAGTATCAGTAAGTGTTTACTATTCTAATATATATATATTTGCATATGATAGTGACTTTCCCAGTTTGTGTTTTTTGATGCAAAAAGGGGATGAACAGCAAATAATGCCATGCTTTACACAAATCAGTTGGTTTAGTGATCTGACCCTAACCTTGGGGCATACATGCCTTTTCTGCAGTAACTGAGGTTATTTAGGTCTTTGACTGGGAAAGAAATAGTTGCAAGCTGCTGTGACCTTGCACTGTGGCAGAAGTGGCAACTGTGCAGAAGTGCCATTTCATGCAATATTTGCTTGCTATTACCGTGTTTCCCTGAAAATAAGACACTGTCTTTTCTCAAGAAGACACACTAGGGCTTATACCACAAATGCATAGAAATCCTGCTAGGGCTTATTTTTGGGGTAGGTCTTATTTTCGGGAAAACAGGGTAGCTGCCAGATTACTTCCGTTTACATACATACTTACATACAAGGAAATGATTTGTTGAATTAACAAATATTAGATATTGTGTTAACTTTGTATTGGATGTGATACACTGCCATGTAGATTTCTGCACACGTGACTGACAATTCACCTTTTCATTGAACCAGCTTTCAGCATCTTTACGGTTTTGCTCTGCCAGAGACTCATACTCTGTTCTCATCCTGTTCAAAAGTGTGGTTAGGTCAGTTCCTGGGGTGGTGTTAATTTCAACATTGACATCACCAGATGCAGCGCCTTGCAATTCTTTTATTTCCTACATGGAGAAGGGGGGGGGAGACTCATAATTTCATAGGAAATACACAAAATAGTTTATGTGTTTTCTGCATATGCACAGTAGCAACATACTCACTTTATACATTTTCAAACATTTTCTGAATTCTATACCCACTGTTTATTTTTCACTGTGGGAGAATGTGTGTAGTGCAGGGAAAAGAGCTTCGTTGTATGTACAATGATCAGTGAAGTTACACAATGTCTCATTCCTCCTCATTTGCGTTCCATTAGTTGAATTAAACTTGCTCTGCCATTTTTGGCATCTTGGAATTATTTTTATTGCTTGTATTTGTTTTGGGCTGCAGTAAATAATTACAGGACAACATGGCAGGATGCAGACAAAAGCAAGTAGGATTCACATATTGTACTTTAGGAGGCACATATACAGACTATTCTGCTGTTGTATGAAGGCCTTTCTAGTTGATAGATTTTACCGCACCCTACACACAATCCTCCTGAAAAAGGTATTGCTATTTTCTCTGAAAGGGGGAAAATGTGCCTTTTCAGCTTTCAGTACACATAAACTAGAAACAGGCTGAAAGCGTCTGTGTTGTCTCTTTCAGACAAAATGGGTATTGCACATTTTGGGATGATCACATGTAGCACATTCTCCACATATGCATGATAAAACTGAAAAGGGCTAAAGATTTCACAATATCTATTACAGTTGCTATGTGATTGATCCTACAGAAAGACCCTTGGAGGTGGCAGTTGTATACATTTCAAACAGGCAAATAAACCTGTTGCTTTAAGGTCATTTATGCTGTAATTTGCTGTTATGGGGCACTTTTTGCAGATGGGAGGGATGGAAGAGGGGTAGGAGCAAGAAAGAAGAAATTCGATGAAAATATTCAGACAGACCCTCCTTTTTTGTTCCACTCATTTCTTTGCATGTTGGGAGGGAAATGTATGCGGAACCTAGGGTTGTCAGCTGCAGTTGGGGAAATTCCTGGAGATTTTGGGGGGAGGGGCTGGAGTCTGGAAAGGCGGGGTTTAGGGATGGAGGGACTTCAGCAGGATATAATGTCACAGAGTCTACCCTTCAAAGCAGCCATTTTTTCCAGGGGAACTGATCTCTGTCATATGGAAATCAGTTGTAATTCCAGGATACCTCCAGGGCTCACCTGAAGGTTGGCAACCCTAGAGGAACCTATATTGGTAGAGCAGTGGGATGTTCTGCAGAATAGGGCAGTCTGGTGGCCACTGATACCACCGTTAGCTGCATTGGACTTACTGCGGATCAACAAAGCATCTGTTAGTAGTATTGTTGCTTTTATCACTGAATATATCCCAGATTCACCAATTGTGTAATGCCAAAGTTTGTACATGATAAGTTTGCATTGGCTGGTCTAGTCCACTGTAGTCTGTTTTGGCAAAATTGATACCTTACCTCTTCATGAGTCTTCTTGAGGAAGGCCATCTCTTCAGTCACATTTTCAATCTGCATTTCCAGGTCACTCTTGCAAAAAGCCAAGTCATCGAGTACTTTACGCAGCCCACGGATGTCTGCTTCAGCACCCTGTTGGAGGAACATCTCATTTTCATATCTGAAAAAAGTGTTTTTTTAAGTGATTAATGCTTAGCTTTTGTATAGCACTTTGTATTTAAAGCTCTCCTCATATATTATCACAGTACTTTACAATAGCCATATAAGGCGGGCCTGGATTGTTATTCCCATATGCCAATGAAGGACTAAGGCTGAGAGATTGTGATTTGCCTAAGGCTATAGGGGGCAATCCTAACCAAGTCTACTTGGTAGTAAGTTCCATTTTAATCACTGGGGCTTACTCCCAGGAAAGTATTCTTAGGATTGTAGTCTTCGTGCCTCTTGAGCTGATCTTAGATTTCAACCAACAGTCCCCTGGATCCTTCTGACTATTGCTGCAACAGTTTACTTCTCTCTGATTTAATACCTGTGGGCAGGCCCGTAGCCAGGATTTTTCAAGTCAGGGGGCATTTAAGTTTCTTAGGGGGCACTGGCTAATCGAATTAAATGAATACGTGGCTCCTTCCCTGCACCTGCCGCTGCTTGGGAGCACTGTTCCCTCTAAGCTGAGTTAGTGTGAGCCAGCTCACAGTTTTTTAGCTTCCGGCTCACACATTTTTGCTTTAGCTCAGGAAGGATGGCTCCAGAACAAACTTTTATGCAGCAGCCAAATCGCTCGGTCACAACTTTAATGCCGGTAGCTCACAAAGTAGAATTTTTGCTCACATGCCTCCACAGCTTAGAGGGAGCATTGCTTGGGAGCCCTGGGCTGGATGGGAAGTCAGGGGGCCTTGCCAGTAAGTCAGGGGGCCTGGCCCCGAGATGCCCCAAGGTGCCTGCTGGTACCCTTTCTGGTGCCTGCTAGGTGTTCTTAGAAAGTGAGTGGCACCAGCCAGGTGTGGCTTTTGACCAGCAAGGCTTCTGATTGGCCATTGGAGATCTGATTGGATGTTCACATTTTTTAAAATGTTATTTTGGCAGCAATTGCCGGCACGGCACAGGAATCTTCATTGTGTGGCTGAATGTAAGCTCTGGCAGACACTTTATAGGTGATTTTCCCCAGCTCTGCGTGCCGCGGCCCCCAACCCACTTGCAAAAAGACCCTTTTTTGTGAGCACAACCACCCCTCTCCCTCCCTCCTGCTAGATTTAAAGGGCCCTCAAGCTTGTCGGTGGGCCCACGTGGTCCTTGCCAATCAGCTGAAACCCTTTAAATTGGGCAGGAGGGGAGGGAGAGCGGTGGCCAGGCGGGTGGTTGTGCTTGGGGGTGGGGTTTGGGGGCACCCTGGAACACCCCACAGATCTCCATGCCAGAGCGATGAGGGAACCTGACAACCCTATTTGAAACTTACTTCATTCTGAAGTCATCTGCAGCCAGCCTGGCATTGTCTATCTGTAGGATAACGCTAGCATTGGTAACACTTGCTGAAAGGATCTTGGGGGGGGGGGGGGTGAGAGAAAACAGAAAAGGAGAGGTCACTGGATGTGAAATATTACCATGTTAATTAAAATTATATACATTATGTTAGCATAATTGATAAACTGGGCAAAAGGTGATACATATAACCTACATATTATATTTTATTTTTGTGGTGTAATTCTTAAAACTGTGGTGACTGCATCCACACAGAGGTTTTGGCTGGGGGAGCATCCACACACAGCATAGGGTTGCCAACCTCCTGGTGGTGGTTGGATATCTTCTGGGGTTACAACTGTTCTCCAAGTGATAGAGATCAGTTCACCTGCAGAAAATGGCTGCTTTGGAAGTTGGACTCTATGGCATTATACCCCATTGAAGTCCCTCCCCAAACCCCACCTTCCTCACGCTTCACCCCCCAAATCTCCAGGTATTTCGCAACTCAGAGCTGGCAACCCTCACACAGCATCATCCTGTAACTGTTCACTTCCAAGACTTTTGTAGTGTATTCAAAGCTGCCTTGAATACCAAGCATGTGTGAAACACCTAATTGGAATGTGATGCAAAGTTTCGTCCTGGGCTAGGATCCAAAGTCATCCAATAGTATTGCTAGCCCAGGAAGGAACAAGCCAATCAGTTCAAGCAAGCTCCCTGAGCGGGAACGAATGTGATTGGACCTTATCTCGGCAACCACATAGGTTGATATGTGTACAGTGGGTGTGGCTATATTAGCCGGGAATGTTTAAAAGCAGGACAGCTGCAATGTAAAGGCTGTTCTGGTTATCAGATGTTGATCCATTGTTGGAGTTGTGTTGGAGTTGAAAAATAAAGCAGTGTTCTTGCTGAATCACTCTCTGTTTTGTTAAGCGAGCGACCTAACAACTTTCCCTGTCTTTGCTACGTTCTTCCTCAAACCTGGTTTAATAGGATCTTTCTGAAAAGGACATTATTCATGCATGTTTGTTAGAATGGGATGATGCATATTTTCAAAGGTCCTGCTCACACTGGGACATTTTCTTTCCATCAGCCCTTTGTGGATGCCATTTCCTCTGGTGTACCACTAGAGGGCTTTTTGAGAGCTTTTTAAAAAAATGGTCATTGCTATTGTACTATAGTGAAATAATATTTCAATGATCCAATGCCATAATGTACTAATTCCTTTGTATTCCCAGCTTTCATTTTTTTTAAAAAAATTGTTTATCCCCTTCTGCTGTGGAAAGGAACTAGTAGATCATGGCAACAAATTGTTAAACTGTTATTGCACTATAGTGTAGTAGCAATTACTGATTATTATTATGTTTTTAAAAAGCTCTTGAAAACTTGGTGGGGGGAAAAGCAGGGAAAATGGTGTCTTATAATGGAAAATGTGTGCATGCATACACATCCTGTTATCTGAATTGCTTTATTTACAGCAATTGGCAATTTATAAATGGGTTCTTGCCAATTTATACCAAGGTCCTGTTCCTACCAAGGGTTTCCAGTAAAGGATTTGAGGCTGTTGTGGCTGTTGTGTTGTCTTTCACTTGAAAATATATCTCATACAAACAATACTGATGCACTCAGACATTCAATTAAGTTTCTAAGATTTACAGTAAGAAATAAGCACTTTTGCATTAGCAGGTAGGGGTGATGGTGGGCAATACTTATCTGTCTTGCAGCTTGGTTGTTCCAATGAAGAATAGAGGGGAAGAAATAGAAAACTAAGGAATTCACACACGACCAGAACCAGCCGGAATGCGTGGGCAGTAGAGGCAAGGGTTGGGGGTAGCAAGGGGGACTTAAGAGGGGTTAAAAGCAGACAGGGGTTGTTGCAGGGGAGATGCTAGTTGATCAAGTAGGAGGGGCCAGGTGACTGGTTATCTCCTTTTCTAGTGGGTTCAAGAGATGGGCGGTAACCGTGCCAACCTCTTGTCCCACCTACCTGTTAGTCCGTCCCAAAAACAATCCTATTGGTTGCATGGAGGGAGGGGTGGTTACCTAGAAGGGGTGGCCAATATTGTAACCTAAAACCTTACTCAAAGGATGGCATCTGGACAGGTGTGAAAACCTTGGCATCAGGAAACTTCATTCTGTTGCTGATGAAGCTGGCCATTCTATTGATAACCAAATGTCCATTTGGCAGAAAATACCAAAGCAGGAACAAAGCAGATGATGGGTGATACGTGACCACAAACAGTTCAGCAATGGGGGCTTGTCTCTACTCAGAGCTGTTGTTTCTCATTGCTCACAATAATGGAGGTGTATGCTTCTTTCACCAGGCTGGTAACTGTGTAGCTGAAACCTTATTCACGTGTAAGGCTTGTGCAGGCACCTTCTATGTGTAACATCACAACAGGTGACTTAAAGTGTACAGTTCTTTGAGCCTATGTGTGTGCACAGTCCATTGTGTGTAGCAATAAATATAGTCCATAAAGTAAATATCCAGTTCATTCTCTAACAATCATGTGGAGACTCTGTTGCCAGTGTGACTGCCTCTGCATTTGCCATGGTCATGACAAGGAAAAAGAGAATCATCTCCATATAGTTAATGCTAGTGTAAGGCTCAGGCTGGAAATTACTCAAGGTGTGGGATGCTGCCGAAAACCTCAGTGGTATAGTTTCTTTTCCAGTGCTGAGATATCTGGGACTGAACCTGGAATATTCTGCATGTGAAGAATGTGCTGTGGCCGCTACACTCTGGCCTCTCCCCATATTGTAAAAGGTGTGGAGAGTCTGGACAGAGAATATTTTCTCTCCCTCACTCATAATACTAGAATTTAAGGTCATCCAATAAAATGGATTGATTATAGATTCAGGACAAAATGTTCTTCTTACATAATGGATACAAAAAAGACAAAAGGCAATCACAGTTAAAGAACCAGCACTGCAAAATAAACTACGGCCTCGGCCACACGGGCAGGAAAATGCAGGGGGGAGGCATGGCTGTTTGCCCCGGAGCAAACTAACGTGCAACTGCGCGATCAGGCTTCGGGCTGAGGTCCCGTGGAGCTCCCGTGGTTAGGGGGAGGTGCCAATCACACACGGGGCAAACAAGCGGAGCGGCGCGGCAAACGGGGTTGTGGGTTTTTTAAAAACTTAAATGTGCACATGCTCCGTTGGGTGCTTGTGCGCATCCATGGAGACTTGGAGAAAAACACCTTTTTGTGAGGGGACATGGGCGGACGCCAGAACTACCACCGGAAATGCGATCAGATGCGTGCCCTTGCCCTGTGGTTTCCGGAAACTAGTACCTCCGAGGTACTAGTTTCTTACCCCGCATCTTTGGCGGGAAGCCTCGGGTGCGCCACGGGAGCTCTACGCTTCTCAGATGTGGCGGTGAGATCGCGCCCAGAAAATTCGCCTATCTTCCGTCTCTCTAGCGTGCCTAATGTTCCGTGTGACCAGGGCCTACTTGTGATATATGACATCATAATGAACTCCAATAAGGAATTACTTATACATGAATGTTTTGTTGCTTCTTTGTGTATTCACTTACTATACATTTTCAAAAATCATACAAGAAGAATAATGATGTTCAGATGGGAAAACTTATGAAAAAACACAATCTACAAACAGTACTCAGACCCACCAGAAAAATACAACAAATGCTACAATCGGCAAAAGACAGAAGAGACCCCCTCACTTCTGCAGGAGTATACCACATACCATGCAGTTGTGGACAAGTCTACATCGAGACCATATAGTGTAGCATTCAGACAAGAATAAAAGACACTGCAGACTTGTCCAACCTGAAAAATCAGCAGTAGCTGAACAGAGCCTAACTCAAACAGGACACAGTGTTTTGTTCCAAGACACTGAAAGGCTGGACAGCACTTCCAATTACCATGTCAGATTACACAGGGAAGCCATTGAAATTCATAAACATAAACACAATTTCAACAGGAAAGAAGAGAGTTTAAAAATAAATAGGGCATGGTTTCCTGTCCTGAAAAACACAAAAGGCTCTACATCTGACAATAGCACTACAGATAAGATTAGAATTTCAACAGCCAATCCACATACAAAAGAACCACCTCAGGAAACAGGAAAACTCCTCAGGAAACAATCCATATACAAAAGAACCTCCTCAGGAAAGCTGGCATGTTCATAGCCTGGGGAACTCCTACAAGATAATGACTCAGCCCTACCCCACCTTCTGGAGTAGATATAAATTACCTGCCTACCAGGTTTTTTTCACCTTGACACAGAGAGTAGTCCATCTTTCTGTGTTATACCTCTGAGGATGCCAGTCACAGTTACTGGCGAAACGTCAGGTTTTACAATGCCAATACCATGGCCACGCAACCTGGAAAATCTACGGCAACCAATAACGATGTTACTTAACAAACCACAAGATCAGAAAAATTCTATAGTCCAAAGATCAAAGATGCAAGACATACAATTTCTTCCACAGTCCCAAGATCAAAGGTGCAAGACGCAAAGTTGCTTGTAGATACACAACACAGAGTTGTTCCCAAAGTAAGACGTGATTTCCGGAATGTTCAATTCATGTTTCTCAGTCTTCATCAGACAATATTATAACTCCAGTCATCACTTTCACTAAAGACTGTCATAACAATATATTAATAACATCATATCCTCTATGTCATAATGATAAAATAATTAATTGTAACTGACAGACGCTTACCTTAAAGTCTCACAAAAACCTTCTCTCAGCAGGCATCTTAACTATGACTTAAACTGGCAACCAGCTCCAAACATTCATTGAATGTTTGAATGTTGAAAATTCCAGAAATCACGTCTTTGGGAACAACTCTGCTGTAAATCTACAAGCAACTTTGTGTCTTGCACCTTTGATCTTGAGACTGTGGAAGAAATTGTGTGTCTTGCATCTTTGATCTTTGGTCCTTAGAATTTTTCTGATCTTGTGGTTTGTTAAGTAACATCATTATTCTTCTTGTATGATTTTTGATAATGTATAGTAAGTGAATGCACAAAGAAGCAATGAAACGTTCATGTTCTTTACTGGAGTTCATTATAGTGTCATATATCACAGGTCTCTTTTGTAGTACTGGTTCTTCTTACATAAGGCATAAGTATTCTATGGAATTGAGTACCAGAGGATGTGGTAATAACAACTTCTTTAGAAGGTTCTTTAAAAGGATCAGTAAGATACATGGTAAATTTATCAGTGTCTGTTAACCATGATGAATAAATGGAAATGCCATGTTCAGCAGCTGAATACCTCATATTGGGGACAGTGAACACATGAGCACATAAAACTGCTGTATATTGAATCAGACCCTCGGTCCATCAAAGTCAGTATTGTCTACTCAGACTGGCAGTGGCTCTCCAGGGTCTCAGGCAGAGATCGTTCACACCTGCTGCCAGATCTTTTAACTGGAGATGGTAGGGATTGAACCCGGGACCTTCTGCATGCCAAGCAGATGCTCTACCACTGAGCCGTAGCACCTCCCAGTCACAGCCTCCCAGTGAACAGCTGTTGCCTTCACAACCTGCTTATAACCCACCTGTTGGAAACAGAATGCTGAATTGCATGAACTTAGGTTGAATGCATGGGCTTAGGGCTGCTCATATGTTTCTCTGACTTCATATCCCATGGGGGACAAAAATAAGTTTTGAAAATGTATCAGCATAAGTGACAGCTTTCTGAGTAACCCAAGGAATAAATGTTCTTTTGGAAATTCAGGACTTTCCTTAAATTAATATCCTGGAGGATCTATATAGGATGACGCTATATTGCTGCTGGTTTTCCCCTAGATTCCTTTAACTGAACTGAAAGTGTGGGATTTTATTTTCCTTGGAAACATTCCCATAATTTTAAGTGATAATGCACTATTGCCTGCTGCTTTTTGCATGGTCTGTTTCCTGATGGGGCAAACTTATCAACTTGGTTTTAATGCCATACACATTGACTTCTGACAGAGGCGACAAGCTTCAAGGGCAGACTGTACCTTAAATGCAATTTCATGTAAGGGAGTCTTGGTGCTGTTTTATAAAAATTAAGACATAGCATCGAGAGAGGAGAATTTGGAATGGACAAATGTGTGCACTTATATATGCCTAACATTTTGCTGCTCATTCTTTCTCCACTCTAAACTTCCCTGGATATAAATATTTCAATAAATAAATAAATTTAGGCTAGAGGAAGGCTTCAAACTTTGCTGAGTGGCCACATTCATGTCATTGTTTATATGGTATTGGGAATGACAAATGCTGTACAATAGTTGACCAGATCAATCATGCAGAAATTTGTAGTTATTTAAAGAGGTACATAATTGTGTGTGTGTGTGTGTGTGTGTGTGTGTGTGTGTGGAGAACAGGAAGTGGAACTCATACAGTGGGAAATCACAGGATATGACCTTCATCACTTCCTTGCACAATTGAAAATGCAGTTCTTGGAACTTCCGGTTTACGAAGCAGCGATGGCGGACGCTCTCTCTGAGTCACGGGCAGGTGAATCGCACACCAGCAGCCTGGAGGGGTGCCACCTCAAGTGACACCCCTGCGGAGCCTTTGCGATAGGCTCCAGGCCAGAGGGCTTTTGAGGGGTAGCCTCTTTGATGGCATAATGCCGGAAAATTGAGGCTCCCCTCCGCCCTGACGGTCCAGTCACTGTGTGGCCTTCGGGCACAAGCTGGTTTGACCAGGACAAACACCGGAGATTGAGCGAAAGATCGTTAAAATGCAGCGTGGTCAGAGAATCTAACCGACATTGAACATAAGTTCTGAATAAAACGGACTTTCAAAAAAGCAGATTTCCCCCCTCCCTCCCCCCGTGTGGATGCAGTGAGGGACACCTCTTATGCGAATAGCCGATAAATGATGCGAAGGGGGAAAAGAGGGGAGGAAAGTAGTGTGTGTGTTGTGAGAGACTTACTTGATTTTTGACATAGTGAGCGAGTTTTTCGAGTCGGGAGAAAGTTGTGGGAAGTGTAAACAAATTGGGAAAATGGCGGCCCAGCATGCAAAGTTAAACACGAAACTGCCAGGCAGTTAGAGTCCCAAACCGGAAGAGGGTGCAGACATCATTAAATTACTAGCGGATATGCTCAAGCCAGTGATGGAACAACTCCATCTATGGTATTAACCAGCAACTGACTGTGATGAACAAGAACTTTGCATCTCAACAGCTCCAGCTGAATGAAATGGAAAAGAAAGTGGAGCAGGCTACTGAGAAAATACAAGAGATGGACACCACAAATAAGAAGTTGAAGAAAAGACTGGGAGAGGTAGAAACAAAGCAAAATCTTCAAGAAAACCGTGTACTGCAACTGCAGATGGAAAAAGCCAATATGATTCTCAGGTTCCAGGGAGTTCCTGGAGCAGTGAAAGAGGACCTGAGGGGGTTGCTTAGCGAGATCATCACTCCAGTGATAGGCTTAACAGCGGATGAACTAATAAAAGATATGGAGGTGGCCTATAGGGCATACTCCAATTATATTTTAAGAAATAGCCTACCTGAAGAAATTGTGGTCAGATTCTCAAGAAGACAGACTAGATATGCTATTTTAAAATCAACATCAGCAACTCCACTGAAAATGGGAAATGTAATTATCAAGATGCTAAAAGACAATCCATTTGAAATTCGGCAAAAGAGGAAAAATTATAAAGAATTGATTGCTTTTCTTCAAACTAATGGAATAATGTACAGGTGGGCGATCCTGGAAGGTGTCATCTTTAAGATCATTAATAAAAGAGAGAAGATAGAGTCTATTTTCAAGGCCAAAGATTTTTTGCGGTGTCAGCTTGGAACAGAGGAAGAGTTTAAGGAAGAAGAAATGAAATCTAGTGACTCTGCCACCTCTGGTACGGAAGAAGACTCTGCTACAGAAATGGGTGCTGCTATGTATCATTTGCAATACTAGTTATTGGTTTTTATATTCTATGTTATTTGATTTTTGTTACAAACATTAATTTAATAAAATATAAATTTAAAAAAAAAGAAATGGGTGCTGGACCTGCCAAAGTTGTCTACAATTTTAGAGACAGAAAGCCGAAGTAAAGGCAGAAGGACTTGGAAATTGGCATTTTGAAGCGAAGAACATGAAGATGATCAGAAAGTTCTCTCATAACAACTTAGTAACATATAAACATGGAAGATGAGCAGGAACTCTACAAGTATATTGTGGTACTAACATTTGTGGTACTAACATTTACACTAACAGAAATAAGATCTCTTGGGTTTTTAGTTTAGTGTGGTTATCTTTCCTTTATCCCTAGTTATAGTTTCCCTTCCTAATTTTCTTTGTAGTTTGTAGTCTAATGCAAAATAAAAAATATCCCTTCGGGGGGTTAAAAAGAAAAAGAAAAGAAAAAGAAAATGCAGTTCTCATCAACATCACAATATTTACTATCTGTCCTTCTGTATTGCCCTGGGGTATATTGTTTCTTTTTTGGTGCCGTTTCATTTTAGATTATATTCTGCATTATTCAATAGCATAAGCATTATACTTCAGAATCTCTTTCAAAATAGTCTACTCACCTTATTTCGAAGTTCATCAATTGTATTATAGTATTTGCTATAGTCACTGGGTTCTCCATCATTGTATGGTCCAGATTTTTCATACCAGTTTCTGATTTTTTGTTCAAGGTCTCTGTTTGCCTCTTCCAGAGCTCGTACTTTAGCCAGGTAGGAGGCCAGGCGGTCATTAAGGTTCTGCATGGTTTCTTTTTCACCACCAGAGAGAAGCCCACTATCATAACAAGCAGTGCCAAGATTGTAGGGATGAAAGCAACCAGCAATGCCCCCTCCAATGCCACCCCAGCCTGATTCAGCAGCACAGGCTACCCCAGTACCAAAGGTTCCTGCACTGGACCCTCCACCACTAGGAAAGTTATACGTTCCACTGCTTGCAAAAGTTCCTGCACCAGACCCTTTACCCAGACCATAAGTTCCACCATTACCCAAAGTTCCCACAATGGACCCTCCACCCAGGCTATACATTCCACAACTAGAGGCCTTCATAGATACCCCACTGCTTCGAGGAAAGCAAGCTTGCCTAGATGCGTGGCCAAAGAAAGACATAATCTTGAGGTAGAGTTTCAAGCAAGTATGCAAAAGCAGAAGTGTCAACCATGCAGAGAGTTTGAATTGTAAGACTAGCATCAAGCTTTTATATGCCGATTTTGTAAGGGCGTATTCTTTGTTTGCAGCATGTTTTCTTAACTCCAGTGTTTGTTTGGCCAATTCATCATTTCTAACTTGCGTGACTTCTAGATATTAATAGGCAGACCCAGTATTCCATCTTGTTCATTTCTCCTGGGGCCATTTGAGATTCTCTCCCCGGGTGGATTCGACCAGGTGAAAACTTTCATTAACTTTTCAGCAATGTTGAGTAAATCCTCCTGTCCCAGTCCTGCCATTGTTTGTTTTTTTAAACCCATCATTATAAACATACTTCTTTGCGTTCCTACTTTGTCACACTCACACTTGCAACACAGAGACTCCTTTGTGACAGAAGGGGTATGCAGACTGCTTTTAAGGATGATTTCTTTTTCTCTTATTTCCTCACTCTGGGTGGTGCAGAGAACTATGTGGTTTGTGTTGTCTCTGCATCCTTTGATTGTTCCAGCTGTCTTTTCTCATGTGGGAGCTTTTCAAATACTTTTTCATATTATTTCTTTAAGCTCTTTGCTATAATCACAAATTTAATCTAACAAGATGCTGGTTTTGCTTCCTGAACCCCCCCCTCCTGTTGTTAAGGATCCAGCGAATGAAAGGTGTTAGTCAGCTTAATTAGATTGTGGAACACTTGGGAAATTTCAAGTCCCTTAGAAGCACCGAACAAGTGAAGAGATAATTTTTATTGGATCAGTCTTTAAGACATACGGTGCTCTTAAGAAAAAAGAAAGAAAGATATTCAGTATGATGATTATGTGGATTAGAAGAAGATTTCAGCAGGTCAAGGGTTTATATTATAAATAATCCAGGGAATCAATTTGCCTGAAGTTCCAGGGAGAAAACTGTGAAAAATGCATTAGATATTTTCAAACACATAGGTAGTATTACACCATTTGGTATCCACTTCCTTGTCAGGGTCAGAAATGTAGGACACTCACATATGAAAGTTTTCTTTTGGACATCAGAACTGGCCCAGTGCATTTGCATACAGGTTGGCTGCTTGTTTTCATAAACAAATCTGTTCTTGAATTGTGCAGGACATACTCCATGTTATCACACAGCAGGAGAAGGCCAGCACCTTAATGATACGTGTGTCAGCAGCATCCAGAGGCACCTGGATTTCATCTGGAATTTGGTCTGATTAGCAAGGAAGTTACAATGCTTTCAGTCCAGAAGGAAGTCCAGAATCATAGCTGCAGTGTTTGGCATGATGAGAGTGTTGAACATTAATAGGCTTCTAGACGAATGCAAAACGCATAGAATCATAGAGTTGGAAGGGACCTCCAGGGTCATCTAGTCCAACCCCCTGCACAATGCAGGAAATTACCAATACCCCCCCCCACGCCCCCAGTGACTGCTGTTCCATGGCCAGAAGATGACACAAAACCTCCAGGATCTCCAACAAAAATGGCCTGGAGAAAAATTGCTTCCTGGCCCCAAAGTGAGAATCAGCATTTCCCTGGGGGTGTAAGAAAGGGCCACAAAAACTAAGCACTGATGCAACCCTTCCTGACCTCCCGCTCATGATCTGCCTAAGTTCACAGAATCAGCATTGCTGTCAGATGGCCATCTAATCTGTGCATGAACGCTTCATAAGTGCATGGACGCTTCATAAATGTAGTGCTTTTTTAAAAAGAAAAACAATTCTGAGAAAGTTTTCTGGAACAAATGCTCACACTTGTAATTTGTAACTAGCCAGTATGCCAAAATATGAACATAGATGAATTAGATCAACCAGCAAGCTGCAGCAAAGGTTTATCCTTGGTTTCTGAAGATAAACTGTGCTGTAAAGTCACAATCAGCTCTTGGCAACTCCATGAAGTTCCACCTCATGGGGTTTTCAAGGGAAGAGATGAGCGGAAGAGGTTTGCTGTTGCCTTCCTCTGCATAGTGGCCCCAGTCTTCATTGCTAGTCTCCCACCCTACTTAACATCCAAGCTCTGACGACATAGGGCAAGTTTGGGCCATTAAGGCCCATTTCTGCCTGCACTGTTTTGTTTTAGTGATGATTGCCAGATGCTGGTGAACCATGTCAGCATAGGTTTGCCAGGTCCCCCCTTGCCACTGGGGGGGGGATGGGGGGTAGGGTTGTGGTTTTCAGTTTGGAACAATCCTGTAGATTTGGGGACAGAGCCGGGGAAGGACAGGGACCTCAGAAAGGTACAGTGCTGCAGATTCCACCCTCCAAAACTTCCATTTTCTCCAGGGGAACTGATCTTGTAGTCTGGAAATGAGCTGTCATTCCGGGGGATTCTCCAGGTCCCACCTGGAGACTGGCATCTCTATGTTAGCAATATGTGGCCAACCATTATAAACCATTTCTTAGTCTTGAGTGTATACCAAGTTGCATGTAAGAATCATGACCCAAATATCTTAATTTCAGTTGCCACAGTAGGAAAAAGTTTATTGTGGAATGCAGGAAAATGACATAAACATGGAATGTTTATATATATAAGCAGTAGTAATAGAAGTACAGAAACAGAGAAAGTTCTAATAGAGGATTGTAATGTCTAGACATTTTGTATGATTAGCTGTGCAGTCCTAAACAGAGTCACACAGTTCTAAATCAATTGAAGCTGATGGGTTTAGAAGGGTATGGCTCCTTTTTGCTACAGAATATTTTAGAATTCCCATAGGAGTTAAGAGAGCGCTTATTTTATAGGTTTTTCTTCTACAGACTGGACATGAGTGGAGATAACTTGGTCACCAATTCTGTCTTCCACGATTGTCTTGATCACTCTTGTTTTTTGCTGATCTGTGTAACAAATTTCAGAGAAGATGCAGTGAACCTGTTGCTTAAGTATGACACTGGTAAGCCGTAACAATAAAAAGGTGTTACACCTGAGAATCATTTAATCACTTTCTGTTTCATTTTGGAGGGAATCTTAAAGCTTTCTAAAAGGGTCATTATATTTGCACAGTTTAGTCACCAGGTACAATCCCAAACCATCCATCTCCATGTGTTCATTTCTGTACTGGATGATCCCTTGCATAGGACTTTAGGATGAACTACAAGCTGTCATGAGTAGCACCATTTCCGGACTTTTCTGTTCCCTCTGTGCCCCTCAGAACCTTTCAGATAGTGCAGCTACACTGCTGTCTGAAGGGCTGTGCTGTAGTGATGTCTCTGTACACGAGCTGCGATTAGATTATGATGCCAGATTAAGAAAAGTGTTCCCCTTTGCCAGAACAAGTATCGTTGTGTCTCATCCCATGCTCAGCTGCTAATGTGCAGTGGAGCATAGTTTCATGTTATTACATTATTTTAAAAACATTCCCTCTTCCCCTGGTGATTATTTCATTTTGTAAGTTAAGTTTTAGTATTAGAACTTTTTTACCCTTAATGTAACAAAGGAAAATTGTTTCTATAAATATGGAAAACAGAAATGTACAGATCTATAAGAACAAAACTGATTACCTCTGGCAGCGCTTCCACTTCTTGATCCTGAGTCATCAGAACATCCAAAACTGGATCTTGTGCTTGCAGATCCTGAAATTCTAGATCTTGACTCTCCATATCTGGAGACCTGGCACTGAGAAGTGACAGATTCTTGGCTTCTAGACCTTGAATCTGCAGATCCAGAATTTCTAGATGGGGACTGAGAAGAACCAGAACCTCTGGATCTTCCATCTGTAGCTCCTAAAGCCCTGAATCTTGACTCTTCGGAGCCTGATGTGCTAGATCCAAAGTTGGAAGATGATTGGTCTCTAGATCTCAAACTTGTTTGTATTCCTGATGCAGTAGTACTTCCAGATCCAAAATCACTGTTAAAACAGAAACAAGGGTAGGGGGTAGTTAGTGTTGGAAAAGGCAATGTCTGGTGTACGAAGAAGAGAAGAAGACCCTGCAGGGGGCAGCATGAAGACAATTAGGATAGTGAGGTCAGCCCCTTTTCTTCTGCTAAGTGTCATTCCTTGTCTGTCTCCAGATTGCTACTCTTAGGGCAATTTCCCTCTTCCTGGAAATGCCACACTCTGAGGTACAGATGTAGATAGGAACCCTTCTCTCTCTCTCCTCTTTCCTATCAAGTATGTTGATTCCTAAATAAAACTTTATCTACTCTTTAATCAGGATGTGCACTGTTGCTGTGTTAATTACTCTGCCAACAGTTAGTTCTTTTTGTTTAGCAAGAGACAGGATAAAAGGATACAGGCTTCTAATTTAACAGTACAAACTTTGGCAAAGTCCTCTTCATCACTATGAAATGAGATGTAAATTATACTTGATAAAAAGATAAAATTTAGATAATATTTGAAGGTAAAATATATGGAATAATTAGGGCTGCCAGAATTCACAGAATACATTATGATAATGTAATGATCCGTGGAGGGGCAAAGCTGGATGTTTTGCTCAGGGCAGGCTTTAAACATTTCATCCTTTTCAGATTTTTTGAACAAAAATGGAAATTACAGTTCTACTATACTGCAGTTGTGTTCTGTGCTACATTATGCAAACATTATGAAAAATCCTATTATAAGCAACACATATGCAAACGGGAAGACAGGCATTGCCCTCATCAGTCCCTGGGGGCAGTGACATTGCAAGAAAGAGACAGTTCCCACAGTCATCTAGTGTTAAGAATTAATTGGTGAGAAAGCAAGTGGTACGCATGCATGTATGATAAAGGAACGTAGATAAAGGAAGCTCTAGATCAGAAACATGAGAGCATCTTTGGAATTCTGACATAGGGTTATGGGCACAAATATAAAATGGCTGCCACAGGAGGCAGAGCCAACCACAAAATGTCAGGGAGTGAGGCCATGCATAATAGTAACTCTTCAATGTTTCAGGCAGTAGTGCTGTTTAAATGGATTCCTTTCAAAATGAATATTTTCTGGCATACATACACAATAATGTAGTTTCAGGTCCTTTTGCTATGGTAACAGCTGTTGCTACAGCAACTTCTTAAAAATCTGCATAGCCAGTTAGATCTCCAGTGGCCAGTCAGAAGTCCTCCTGGGCAAAAGCTCCACCTGGCCCTACTTGCTTTCCAAAAACACTCATTAGGTGCCAGGAAAGGTGTTGGCAGGTACCATGGTACCCATGAGCACCACATTGGGGATCCCAATCTAGATATAATATGTTTACGAAAGAAAGAATTCTGCCCTATCCCAGTTTATTCACCTCTCTTCTCCGTCCATCAGGCTGCGGTAAGTTTCAATCTCACTCTCCAGGCGGATCTTGATGTCTAGGAGCTGCTGATATTCTCTATTCTGGCTCTCCGTATCATCCCTGATTTGCTGCAGTTGACCCTCCACATTGCTTATTGCTCCTTGTATTTGGGAAAGCTGGGCACAGTATTGACCTTCGTTCTCTGCTAGGGTGACCTCAAGAGATTGTTTCTGAAGAAGAAAATATAATAATGTAATGAAAAGTAAATATAATAATAAGAAAACACAATGTTGTGATATTTGGGTGAAAATTTGATTGGGAATCTGGAACAAATATGCCTCAGACATTCCCCTGAAAATCTTCCTCTTGTAAATTTTGATGTTGAGTAGTTGTTAAATATCTGGTCAATATTCATGTATTCTGCAAACACTTTATGTTTGGTTATAGCATTAAGTATCCAGTTGGTCTTTGTTATTTCATGTAAGATTTCACTTTCATATTTGGTGTTTGATCATTTTTGATAGCTGCAATGCAGTGTTATTTAGTATTTGACAGTTTAGTAAATTTGACAACCCTGGGTATTTGATATTTACACTATGTAATCTACCTAGAATTTCAGAGAGAAAGGTGAACTATAAATAACCAAATAAACAAACAACTATAAATACCAAACCATCACGAGATTAGTCGAAATAAAATGTAATCAACCTTAAATTCTGAAGTCATAATTCTAATTAAAATTGTGGAATTAGAAATGTTGGCATCTGTTCCCAACATTTCATCTATATATGTGCTTTCATTGTATGGATGAGTGTTGCAGCACTCTTAACATCATCCCACATAACTGCAATAAAAGTGAATCCTGCATATATTGTGTTGTGCTGCCCATAGGCATGGGACACCAGATTCAGAGGCATGGGACACCAGATTCAGAGACCTGGAGTTCATTAGATAATGGAAGTGCTAACCTAAGATGGAAATTGTCTTTCCCTTTTCCATAAAGCTGACTTTTCTGCACCCAATAGAATTACTTGTAGAAATCATGACCTCATGAGGGTTACGTAATATTTAGATTTTTAATTTTATTTATTTAGAAAAAGATAAGAGATTGGATTTATACCCTGCCCTTCACTACCCAAAGGTGTCTCAGAGCGGCTTACAAACTCCTTTCCCTTCCCCTCCCCACAACAGACACCCTGTGAGGTAGGTGGGGCTGAGAGAGCTCTGAGAGAAACGGCTCTTTTTCAAGAACAGCTCTGACAGAACTATGGCTTGCCCAAGGTCATCCAGCCAGGTGCAAGTGGAGGAGTGGGGAGTCAAACCTGGTTCTCCCAGATTAGAGTCCGCACACTTAACCACTACACCAAACTGGCTCTCATATCGCACTATGAGGTTTAAGGCGGCTGGAGGACAGATTTTGATTGTGTCTTTCTAGAGCAGTTTGGTATGTTTGTTTTTCCAAATTGCAAGCAGGACATTTGCCACATTTGCTTCTCTAGACCGCGCAGCAATTGCCATCTATTGAACTGACTTGTGGCAAATCGTAGCTCCTAATCCTCTACTCCCAATATCCAAGGTGCATGTCCTGCCTCTAGAGTTGAAAGTGGATACTGGCAGAATGAAGACCCCAGCTCCCCCAGCTCCAATTTCAAATACTATGCAGCACCATATCTACTGTCTCCCAGGTCTCTGTCTACTTTAAAGGATAATTTTTTAAATCTGATCAGAGTGAGAGAGAAGAAGCGTCATGTTTGACCACTACAGCACTGTTTTGGCTGGAACCATTTTTTCCTCCTTTCTGTGCTTCTCTTTATTCTGGTCCTAAACTTAAGAGAATGTTAAAAGTTTAATAAGTTAATTAGCAGAAATCATAGGTATTAGTTTAAAAAAAAATTCTTAATACCAGAGACAATTGTGATTGCAATTCAATCTCCAGGTTTTGCAGATTGCGTCTCAGTTCTGTAATCTCACTCTTGTTTGTGCTGGTCTCTTCGACACTGCTGCTGATCTGCCTGTTCAGTTCTTGAGTCTGTGATTGGCCCAAAAAAAGTTCCAAAGTCTTTAATTAAAGAAATGTTTTTGCTTAAAGGAGAGGCTTCTAGTAAGTACATTGTTAGTATTTATTTCACCTGTTCGTTGAACCACATCTCAATATCTTTTCGGTTCTCCTCGGCAATGGCCTCATATTCAGCTCTCATCTTGTTGAGAAGAGCAGTCAGGTCAACTCCAGGTGCAGCATTGATCTTTACATCTATATCTCCGACAGTACCATCCACTGCAGAAGTCATATCCTGTATCAACACAGGATTTTTTTTAAAAAGGCGCAAAAGATGGATTTTTTTTTTAAATGGGGCTAGCACAGATGATGATTTCTAGACTACTTTAGTTTCAAGTCCAGGTGTTCTCTAGTTAAGCACTTTGATAGAGCAGAACATTTTGTTTGTTGTGTATAGGTGTGCTGAATTATTTAGTGTACGACTTTGAGTATATTATGACTTCTTTAAGCTTGCCGGATAATTTGACATTCAAAACAAAACAGAAACTCTAGTTCCTTATATTAAGAGTCCTTGTTAATGTTGAATACAAGTATTGAGGCTTGAGATTACATGGTAATTTTAATACGGGTTATGCAAAGAAACAATGCATTTAAGCAGGTCCAGCCTCATTTTGGAGACTGGACCCATTGAAGACCCATGAGACTGCAAGCTAGGCCCTGGTATATTCCTGATCATTCCTCCCTGGCAGGTTGCATTTTTTTTGCCATTCCTCTTTTCTGAAACTTACCTATGCAAGGGAGAGCAGTAGGGGAGACCTCACTTGAACTTAGATTTGGCTATTTGGCCAGTAAAAAAATAAGACTTAGTCAATGAACTAGTTGACCATTGTCAACTGTTCTTTAAAGCAACAAATGTATCAGAACACCAGAAAAAGATATTTTAATTAACAGGATGTTTGATCCATTTCAGATTGGCCTGGACTCCAGAGGGATCTCAGAGGGTCCAAAGTGGATCAGCGGTTGGAGTGCTGTAGAAATTATTATTGCTGTTAAAAGCTCCATGTGATTCAATGTTGGAGCTAGTATAGAAAGCAGCTTGTTAAAAAAGAATGTATCTATGACCACTGAATGGTGTAAACTTAACATAAGCAATTACAAGAACATTACTCAAATTAATTTCTGTGTCATACAGCAAAATATTCTGATGTGAAATAGTAAGTGAGCTTTGTATTTCTAAGGATCATTGCAAGACACTACTCCGAAACCATTGCTGAAAATACTAGGCACCACAGTAACATTTCTGGGCACCTTGGATTTGTCCAGCCTTCCCATTTTTTTATGTCCAAGCAGAGCTGGAGCAGACGACTGATTTTATTATTTATGGGGGAAATGGAATCCAGCAGTCCATTGACACTATTGATAGTTTTGCTAATTGCTGGCTAAGCGTCGTAACAATAAAATTCATTCATTCGATAGTTTTGCTAGTGAGTTGTACCAGCTATTGGTACAACATATATTTGGACTTAATTTTGCACACAACTTATACATGTGTTACCTCCTCATGAGTCTTCTTAATATATTGCAGCTCCACAGTCAGGTTTTCAATCTGCATTTCAAGATCACTCCTGCTCATTGTCATTTCATCAAGGACCCTACCCAGGCCATTAATATCAGCTTCCACACTCTGGCGAAGGGACACTTCATTGTCATACCTAAAGAAAAATGTTTGAAAAGGGTTGTCAGCAGAGAACATCTGAACTGAGAGAGAGAAAAAATCCTTTTGTGTTGGTGTTTGTTCAGTAACATCATCAGCCATTTGTTCACTCATATATCAGGTCTTATCAGATGTCTTACTAGTATAAGGCGTGCTTTTCAGCATGCCATGAAATGGACCTGGAATTATCCAAGCATCTGGCTAATTTTCTAGTATGAAACTAGAACATCTATACAATTGGCTGTGGTGAATGGGATGTTTTACCTAAATATGCGGTGCGTTCACGCATATTATATTTACATGTCAGAGTAGGTTAGTTTTGTGACATGTACACATGGGTCAGAGATCATCTGCTCTAGTGCATTGCTGGAACCACCTAGACATTTCTCCAAAACAGATGATAGTTAATTTTGCATGAATTTAGATCTGGATTGGTTTGATGTCTATGACATTTTGGCTTTGGTAGCAATATGCAAAGCCCTTGGTTTGCCTTGTTTAAACCTGTGGATGTAATTGCACCATGCTCACTTGAGTTGAAAGTCAGCACCAGCCAGCCTTGCATTGTCAATCTGCAAAATGACTTTTCCATTGTCTGTAACTGCAGTAATTATCTGAAAAGGGGGGAAAACAGTATAATAAGAGTGTTGCTATTTTATCATATCTATTTATTATTACACATTCGCTTTGTATGGGCAATAAGAAAAATCTGCTTAACTAGATAATATTTATACAGAAAATCTTAAGACTTGTACTGCCAAATGACATTATTACTTACAACTCAAGAACCGTTGTGAAAACCTGATAAAGTTAGTTTGTATATTTACTTTCCCTCTTCACTGTCAACAAATTATGGAAAAGCAAACTGAAATGATAAATCTAAAATTTCAGTTGTAAATGGTTGTATGTGGTCTGTGTTCTATGTATGACGTGCAGTGCCATTCTAAGAACTCTTTCTGGGGGTACGCCCCATTCAGTAGGATTTAGTAGGATTCTCCTGTTTAGGATTACTCTCATGCTCTCAGACCAGATCAGATACTTGCAATAAATATACTAATTATTAATAACTCTGTGTTTCCATTTAAGTCACTAGATCTTATAATTCAAGATTTTTGAGAAATATCTGGTCAGAAACTTAAGCAGAATAAGTTATAAAAACATTTTAGAAGTATTTCCATACCTGTTTCCGAAGGTCCTCAATGATGGTATAATATTTGCTATAATCACGTGATCCTCCATTGCTGGTCCCTTCTCCCTGCTTCTTGTACCATTCTGCAATTTTCTCCTCAAGATCAGTGTTCGCTTCCTCTAGAGCATGGACTTTGCCCAGGTAGGCTGCCAAGCGGTCATTGAGGTTTTGCATGATTTGCTTTTCATCACCCGGAAGAAAGCTACTCTCTCCGCCACCAAATCCATTAAAGTCTCCAGTTGCATCACATCCAGACATACCCCATATAGAACTTGACCCCCATGACCCACCAGCATTGCATGCTGTGCCACTAGAACTCCATCTCCCTTGACCCCCAGATGCCCTACTGACATTGCACATGCCTCCACCGGAGCCCCATGCACCACCCCCACTGCTGGAGCTTCCACCAAAGACTCTTCCACCAGAACTACCACTTAAGCTGCGTGTTCCACTGCCTGATGTTCTCACCAGTCCTCTGTTGCTGTGGGAGCTAGAGCCTTGTTTGGAAGAGTGACTAAAGAAACTCATTTTTGATGGTATAATATACAGAGGACCTTCCCTGCACAGCAATGCAGCTTAAGGAGAAGCTATCCTTGGAACAGCGTAAGGAGAAGCTATCTTTGCAAGACAATTTTTACCTTTTTATATATAAATTGGCAATTGCATCACACTATTTTTGTGCCAACTTACTAGCCTAGTCCATCATTAGATAATTATAGTAATTAATAGCTAATCCTAATATGTACATCTGGGCTTCTCCCTCTGGGTGTTCTGTATGTCTAGGTGGAAAATAGGTGGAGCAGAATGGAACCAAGCTTTCATTACAGTATTGTAATTTTTTTGGGACAGAATTGAGTAATTACTTTCCTTTTTATAAATTTACTGCTTCCTAACATGTTCTTGCATATTATCTGTCCTTATTTAGTCTGTTCTTGGTTTTAATTATATTTATCTCTGTTTTACCTCCATTCTTTTTAAGAACCATGTCACAGAAGTTTTAATTATATTTATCTCTGTTTTACCTTACATACTTCCATTCTTTTTAAGAACCATGTCACAGAGCTATGGCCAAAATCACTTAAGTATTGAAAAGTGCATAAATGTGAAACAGCCTTCCTGTACAGTTGACTCAGAAACCTGATCCAAGTGCATTTAGAACTACCTTTTTAAAATTAAAATATGCACATCACAACAGGAGAGGAAGAGCCTTGTGGTTCCTGGGATTTCGATCTATGTTGTTCAGGCTAAAAATGATTCTGGCTTTGCCCAGGTAGGCTGCTTTATATGTAAAATCAAAGTCTGACAAAATATTTTTCTAGGTTAGTCATGTTATGATCAACCATACAGAATGTATTCATTTAAGGTCTTTTAACCCCACACCAGTTATGGCTTTACTTTATCTCATTGGAATAGTATGTACTTTCAGTAGAGTCTAGGAGGCCAACTTTTGGGTCTGCCAAGAACACCCATTCAGAAACAGCTGCCTCCATAGCAGGAGGATGCTTGGCTTGTGAAAAGTACGCAGACGGAGAGTGATTTCAGCAAAGCGTACTTTATTCAGTCAGGAACAAGACAGCAGGACCGAATTCGCCAGGACCGAATTTGACACCAGCAGGTCCTTAACCGCTTGGAACGCCGCAGCTTGCGGCGGGCCCCAGACCCAAGGTACCGATTTGTCCATGAGGCGGTGGAGCGGCTTTGCAACTGCAGCTTTGAGGGGCAAGAAGGAATTATAAAAGTTCAATAGCCCCAGAAAAGCCTGCAGCTCCGCTTTAGATTTTGGGGGCGGTGCGTGTGTGATGGCTTTCACCTTGTCCGTGGTGGGGTGGATGCCGGAAGCGTCGACCGCAAAACCCAGAAACTCCACGCGAGGGACCCCCAGCAGACACTTCTCCCGCTTTACCCTGAGGCCCGCTGTGTTGAAGCAATGTAACACAGCCCGCAGCCAGTCGGCGAAAGACGAGTGGTCCTGGGCCGCGATCAGCATGTCGTCTAAAAACAGCTGAACTCCGGGGATGCCTTTTAGGAGTGCATCCATAAAAGATTGAAAAATACCCGGTGCGACCGAGACTCCGAACTGGAGGCGGTGCACCTTGAAAGCCCCCCTGTGCGTCATGATAGTCTGAGCCTTGGCCGTGGCGGCATCAACCAGCAATTGTTGATACGCCTGGGCCAAGTCCAATTTGCCAAACTAAAGTGGCCAACACATGGCTCACCATTGGCACCGGATACGTGTGAGCATGCAGGGCTTTGTTAAGTGTGCATTTGTAATCCGCACAAATGCGTACTTCCCCGTTCGGCTTATCCGGGGTGACTATGGGGATTTCCCACCGGGCTGACGTGACCGGTTCCAGGACCCCTTGTTTCACCAGGTGATCTAGCTAAGCCTCAATCTTAGGCTTCATTGCAATTGGCAGTAGCCTGGCCTTAATGCGGATAGGGCGGAAAGCCAGGTCCAGGTCCAAGGAAATGGGGGGTCCCGAAAACCACCCCAGGGTGCCATCAAATACTCGGGGAAATTCTGCGCACACTGCGCCAAAGTCCTAGGACTGGACTTTGTTGATCTCGTGCAACGACAGTCCCAGAGGGCCAAACCATGAGAGTCCTAGCAAGCTTGAGCATGGTTTCTCCACCACCACCAGTTCTAAGGGGCTGTTAAAGTCCTGGAACTGTACCCAGAACTTGCCCCAGCCCTGGATCTCCACAGGGTTCTTATTAAAGTCCCATAAAGCGAACCCCTGTGGTTTCTGCAGGCCCCCCCCGTGGACACAATTTGCGGAGCATATCCGCGAAGATAATACAGTATGAAGACCCCGTATCTACCTCCATACTGCAGGGGGACCCCTCTATCCTGACAGTGACATGCACTTTGTTGGGGCCATCGGGGGCAAGTTACATACCAGGTGTTGCTGGTGATGGGCCGATATGGAGTGGAGGTCCATGTGCTGCTCCGGCGTGACCTGGTGAGCTGACGACTTCTGGCGTTGGCCTTTGGAGTGGCAAACCTTGGCAATATGCCCCGATTTGTTGCATGTGCGGCAGATCGCGTTTTGGAAACGGCACGACCTGCGCTCATGGTCTTCCCCACAGCTAGCGCACAGAGCCAAAGGGGTAGAAGCCTTGCTTGTTTTGGAGGACGATTGATGTGGGCACTGGGATGCCCGCTGGCAGACCTGTAGTACCTCCTCCTTGTCCGAGGTGTCGGAGCCGACCGTCAATTGGGTGCGGTGGACTCCCTTGGCGCGGCGGTCTTGATGGGCCTTCTCGTAAGCGGTGGCCTCCCGGATCGCTTTATCCAGGTCTAGGTCATCCTGCAGACCAGCCTCCTGCAGAGCTTGGGCTCCCTTAGCCCCACAAGGAACTGAGTCAGCAAGGTGTCCACTAGGTGGGGAAAGGAACTATTGGTGGCCGCTCGCCTGAGCCTGGCCAAGAACTCGGAGGCTGGCTTGTCCGACCTTTGGACCCGTGCACAAAAGTTTATGCCCTCGGCAAACTTTGTGGGCTTCGGCGAGAGGTGGTCGGTCAATGCTTTCACCAGCACGGGGTAGGGCTCATCCTTGGTCTGCTTCGGTGCTATGAAGTCCTTGTAGCAAGACGGTGTCCATACCGCACGACTGAAGGAGATGCGCTTTTTTCTTCCCCTGGTCCACAATGTCGTGGCAGTCGAAGTAGTTCTCCAGGATCTCGAGCCAGGTCTCCCATTGTGTGGGGCGGTAGATATCGAAGGCAGCGATGCTTTCCTGGGTGGCCACCATCTTCCTGCTACATGTGGCGTGACGGCGGGAACGGTGGGAATTTAGTGAGCGTAGGGAAGGAGTAGTGCGGTGGCGGTTTTTGCGAGGTGACTCCACGTGGAGGCGAGCGGCGTAGATGGTGGAGCAGTGCGGTGCTGCTCTCGGGGTCAGTGGTGCGAGGCTCAGTGTTGCCCTTACCCTACCCCTTTTCAAAATTCCAAAGGTGCACATAGGCTCAACAAGTGTGTGGACCCCATTGTAGTGGTTAAAAGAGTGGTTCAGGCTTCATTTTAAAAATTTTATTCTGCTTCATACTTATTTAAATATACCCTACTTTGTGCCCCAATGGCAACACACAATGGCTTCTCCATTTAATCTGTACAACAACTCTGTGAAGTAGGTTAGGTTGAGCGTGTGTGATTGGCCCAAGGATATTGACGGTTCTGTCAGCAAGCTGCCAATGTTTGGTTTCATTTCCTAGATGTGTGTGTGCGCTTGCTTCTGTTTCTGTAGACTCGTAGATGCGCATGGCTATGTAGCTCGCCATAACAATTATATCTCTTCAAGGCCACAGGTGGAAGCAACGCTCGTCAGTGCAGGGAAGCTCTCATGAATCACCGTGAGAAGAAGATAACATGAGAGGCTTGCAACCGTTAGTTCTCATGCCCAAAGGCGCGAGCGGGAAAACCCTGCAAGTGCGTGGGAAGCCCCGCAATTGGGTAGTAGTGGTTTGAATGTTTTATTATATGCTTTGCCATTGCCTGTGTTCCCCATTCTGAACAGTGACCCTGTTATGTACCTTCAGCTCTCATAAAGTTACCTTTTCTTCAAAAGCGTGCTTATTATGATGCAAGGAGGAGTCCTACGGTTATGTGGCCCATTAGCCATAAGGGCAATCCTAAGCAAAGTTTCACCCTTCTTAAAAAATGTGTTGAATCCAGCCAGCTTTTTCACTCAGCCTCATCCAATTCCCCTCCTTATTTCAGCCCCCACCACACATGGTTTTTATTCATGCAAGTCCCATGATCTGTAAGATAACCTTTTTTTGAGTGGTCAAATGGGACTTCTCCCTTTTTCACCAGCAGAAAAGTTGGTTTGATCCAGCCAGTGCTGGTGTCAGCATTCCCTCAGGTGGGGCAGCTGCTGGAGCCCAGAGCGGGCCCACTGCTGCAGACCATGCAACCTGCCCTTTCTATCACTCATACTTCCAGCTGCATGTACTGCCGAGTGCAGTCTTGGAAAGGGCTGCTGGTGGTGCCCATGGCTGTGAGCCGGGGCCATGGGAAGGCTTGCAAGCAGGGCAGGGGAAAGATGCACAGGCAGCTAGTGAGACATATGGGTGAGTGGGGGTAAAGGGAGGCACCTGGGAACTCTCTGTCCAGGGCCCCCCAAGATGTGGAACTGGCCCTGAATCCAACCTACTGGGTTGAGAAGGGTGTGACGGCTGTTTAGGAAGGCACTTCAAGTATAGTACTTTGCATGTTCCTTAAACAGCTGACAAAAAGATGCCTGACCT